AGGGGAGGAGAAATCCCAGCGTTTCTCAAATACAGATATGGACTTCACTATACCTGGCCAAAACTTTCTTCCTCCAGTCACGCACACTGACTGCTACTCTCTACCCCAATAAGTACATAAACAATCTAAAAAGCATTTTGCAATCCACCAGAATGGAAACATCTCTTTAACAAGAGCCTAATGATCCAGAATGATCAGAGATACCTGCAGTGCAGCCCGTGGTATGCAACACATCCTGAAGCTGTTTCTCTTAAGCAGAGAGAGATTCAGGTTGCGGACATGACAGCTCCCAGCAGGCCACGTGTCAGCAGGATCCAAAATGCTTGAGCAAAACTGCTCCATCAGGATGGGACACTGCACAGCTACCTGCGCATCTTCTCAGCAATCTAGGCCACTGCCCACAGATTAGAGACAAACTTCCAGCAGAGCTGCAATGCTTTGCTGTGTGTGCCAAACGGGAACTGGGCTTTCACAGGGATCACTTCGAAAAGTAGGAGCAGTAAATTGACCACATTCCTTTTTATTACAGTCAAGGGCAAAGAAGAATTCAGTCGACTCAAGGTTATGTTAAAAGTCTACCTCCGCTGGAATCTGGTCAATCAGTGTTTTGCAAGGGCTTGTTTGCATAGCAGAGTGACTCACAGTCACTCTCTGTGCGTGAATTTTCCCTGCACTTCCATTACCAACCAAGAATGTTCATATACAGAGAAGTTGCCGTACCATAAACTCACTCACCAGTTTATTGCATTGTAATTTCCTTATGTAGACAAGCCCTAAAAAGCCTTGATAGAAGTAGGTTTACCTTTGTCTGTTATGAATAGCAGACTCATGAGAAGCTGGACGCAGAGTAGGGAGAAAGAGCGCAGAATTATGAATGGCTCCTAGCTCAATGTATACAGCTCCTATTGACAAGGGAATACATGTGTCTGAGTATGCAGGTCTTTATAGCTTGGTTTGGCCAGGAGCTAGAGCGCAAAAATTTCTCCTTGGTCCTTCTGTGAAAGACAGGCACCTAGAGACAGTTAGAAAACACTTGGAAAGAAAGGGATACATGCTCTTCACTAACAGACATTGTTCTGCACACAGTCGCAAGAAGCAGGTTCTGTTTGAAATCTGAAATCACATTAATATATGGTCACCAGAGGCTGCATTTTTCAAGTGGCAGCTGGTCAGAGATTCCCTGGTATAACCACCAATTACGTAACAAATTAACTAACTAAAATTCGATGGAAATTCAGATTTGCCTACTGGTGTGAACAGGATGTAAGGGAAGCAGAATGGGTCACAAAATATTCTTAAAAGCTTGCATGTGAGTGCATATTTGCAGGGGGAGGGAAGCAATTCAGTAATAGGACTCAGACTTTAAAAAAAAAAATTTTGTTTTTGCCTTCCATCCGGACTCAAAGTAAGAAATTACACAGATTTCCACTGCCCGCTCTTCTTTTCCTTCCACACCCTCTTCTCATTGGCACGAGATAAAACCTTGGGGAAACAGCAGCAGCAATTTTCAATTCTCATTATCTAACGGCAGCAGTAGCTCTTGGTGAAACTTGCGGTCAATAAACTACAGGCAATTTTAAAAGACACAATGGGAACTGCCCCTCCCACAGCTGTCCCATTATCCCAGCTTTTATTAGATTTAAAGCCAGCGATTTTTATGCTGTAGCTGAAGTTCTGCAGAGCCATGAAAACAGACCACCAGAAAAGATAAAACACTCCTAAATTAAACAGGAGACATTACAGTAACGTACTCTGAAGTCAGAGAGCTTCCACATAAGCAAAGCACAGGACGCAGCAAGCAACCCAGAGCCTAAGCAGGCTGACGCTGCTGCAGCGAGCCAATGGCGACGCAACCAAAACTTAACGTTCAGGATGGTATAAACGGCAAAGTTCGTGAGCAGGTTAGGCAGGGCAAGTTGAAAGCATACTAGCTACAAAGGCGGACAATCAGAGCAGGATCCTGCTCCCATAACTCTATGAACATCCCACTATAGGCATTAACTTTGGAGTTGATGGTCTGGATGTGCCTCCCAAGCAGCAGAGAGAAATACTCACTTGTGAATGGCAATTCAGCTGACCTGTTTCAGATGACTGTTTTAGGATCAGATGCGCCATGCTCTAGAGGTGCCTATTTCTCTCCCTTGACTACAAAAGAAGCCCTGATGGCCAGAAACCATACAAAACAGGTAATGTCAGTTATATCCCCACCATGCACTACAATAAAGTAACCTGTTCCAGTAAGAGGGCCTGTACAGGAAATGAGTAGAAAAGAAATTTCAAAACTCATTAAATGATTACCTGATATATTTGTCCGGGGGGCAGAAGTAACAGAGGGTGCATCATAGCTCCCAGCTCAGAAATGTGCACAACAATAGGCAAATGGGTGGGAAATGGGTGCCCAAAGGAACAGTCTCAAACCAACCCAGTAAGGGGGAAGATGCGAAGAATTATTCTCATCCACTGCAAGCTGTAATTTTCAGTCTAGAAATCTAGAGCTTGCTTTCTCTGAGTCTAATGTATACCATGCCCTGGAGACATTTTTACCAGCCATCAAAAGGAACTTGCAGAGAACCAGATGCTTCATTAAAGAATATTCACCAAGCCTTATAAAATCTTTAGTAAAAAGCAGAAGAACAAATCACCAGCGTGCAAGTGAGCTGAAGTCACACATCCAGCTTTGATTACAACCTCCTGTACTGGAAAACAAATTGTGTTTAAAAAAAAAAGGAAAAAAACACACAAGAAATCAAGAGATTCTGGCCTCTCTTTCCCACATTCCTCCAACCTGAATTTCCTCAATGAGGAATGCGTGAGACAAAGCCATTTGGTAGAAGATGCTAATTTAAACTTAAAGAAAAATAACAGCTTAAAAGGGGAAGGGAGGAGGGAGTTTTAATGCTTCATGAAAAAACACAACAGCTTGCGATCGCTACATATATCTCAGGAGTCAGAGGACTCAGTATGAGCAGTGAGGCAAATTGTCAGGGCTTGAGCTGTCCTGGGACAAAGGAAACTGCAGAAGATGTATTGCCTTACACAAGTTTTATTTGAACTTGTACTTGCAGAACCCTCTAGCCCCTATATCTAGCTGCAAGGTTTAGTTACATATTCCTTAGTCTCTCTCGCCCCTTCTTAAAACATAGCAAGGAGATTTTCTGCCACATTGTCATCATCCACAGCAAATTAATGTCCTACGCTCTGCTCCTTTCAGGAAGTTTCTATAACAGTGGGGATAAAATTTCTGAAGTTCACTGAACACTCTGGGAACCAAGATGACCCCCAGTTTTTGGTTTATAAAAAAAACCTACCAGAAAACCCCACCACCACACACATCCAAAAAAGATCCAAGTTAATAGGATCTTTCACTGCCCTCTGCTGTTACCGGTCATTTAGCTTCCAATTTACTCTTTAATAATGTCGAGCTGGGGCTCAGGGCTGGCAGCGTCCCAGCCCCTTTCTCAGGCGGGTTGGAGCCGCAGCTTGCAAATATGCTGAAGTTTAATGCAATCTGTCTTCTTTGGTAATCACATTCCGCCCGCACTGCATGCAATAAAGATGTATTGGTAAATGCATTTGCTAAAGATATACTCCACTGAAAAGGCTACAAGCCTGATTTACAGGAGGCAAGGAGGAAGCATCAGGTAACGGAGGCTGGCAATAGATGAGCCAATGCTCTGCACACAGCAACAGAGGACACGGATTGCACAGCGGCAGCATAGGCACCGCTTTACTCTAAAGCTGAGAAAGAAAAAGAAACCGTTTTGGGAGCTGGGGACTTTAAAGATATCAGAGAAAAGCCCTTTCTCTGGCAGCTTTAACCTTGCTGATTTGCAGACATACAAAGACCTTCTTTGTAAACAGGAAGGAAAAAAATTCCACTAGGACTAGCAACAACATTTGGTCTAATATATCCTGACAATTTTCCCATCTCCTTCTGTCGGGCTTCTTCTGGGAGCCGACTGGCAGCTTGTTCCATGTTATACTTAAATCAGGCATACAGCTTCCCCTCACAATGCTAATGTGACAGAGAAAGACTGCTTCTATGAAATCTCCACCTCTCCCCCACCCTTTGCATTAGTAATCCCATGAGAGGAGTCTCAGTTTTCTATTCCCAGAAGACTCCATCCTTTTCCCCAAATACACCTTACTATAGTCTCAGCACCTTTTGGAGAATTTTCTATCCCCCCAAAAAAAGAAAAGCCTGCCTTTGAGGGACACCTGACCCACTGAATTCTCACATGGGGAACAGCATGTTCCACTTCCCACTCCAGACATCCCAAGCAGCAGCTAATGTCTTACCACTCACTTTTCCCAAGACCACATCCTAGTTGTAATGTCCAAATACTTCATTTTTCCTTTCTCCTTCACCTGTTTCAGTAGCCAGAAGTTCTTCCAAGGTACTGAGCAGCCACTGTCCTAAGGCATCAACAGAATCTACTAGGGCTCTGCATCTCAGAAGGAAGAGCCACATAAGGCTTGCTGGCCCTCCACACAAGATGACCAGTTTTTAGGAGTGTGTAATTTTCTTAACAGACAGCAGCTTTGCGCAGTAAAGAAGCTTTCCTCATGCAGCAACGAAAGGAAGCAAGGCCTCCAACTGTGAAGTCCCATAATGGGAGAATGTTTAGAGCCTGTTCAAAATGTTACCTACGTTGGCAAAATGGATTTGCCTACCGTTTGCAAAATACAGCATCCAAGAAGGCAAAACTTGGAAAAATTATTGTGACTGACTTCAAAACCTAGGAGCATCGGTGCTACTGTTCTGGTGGCAGCTCAGTATAACAGGACCCACTGACGGGAGTGAAGCTGGGACATACCACAGCGTGACTGGGAAATGTGGAATGAATGTGGGAAAATGGATCCCAAAGAAAAACGGTCTCCTATGAACATTGCAATTTGACTAACAGATACCACAGCTCTCAGAAACACTTCCCAGAAGAAAACATGATGCAAAACAAAACAGCAAAGCCAGCAAGTACAACAGGGAAGATTTTGTTACCTTCTGAGCTGCACTAACACAGCGCTGATACTCCTTAGCCAGCTCTGAGCATTTGAGCACTTCACGTTTGTTTTCTTGGTAGCACTTCAGAATTTCAGACTGCAGGCTTGCACAGACAGGATCAGTGTTCCTTCTCCTGCAGGGAAAACAAACACAAAAAGATATGTGAAGAGGAGTTTTCACCCACTTACTACCATTTTACCAGTGACACACATACTAATCTTGTGTTGGAGCCACCTAGCCCTAAAAAATAGAGAAACTGGTGGGAGCAGCATTCACCAAAGTGGGTCAAATGACCAACAGTGTCTTTCAGCTGCAAAATCCAGATTACTTAGCAGAAAGAAGGAATACTTTCTTTCTAGGTTGGTGTGGAAGGCTGTTTTACCCTTAGATAAAACATCATCTCTCCTCTGCAGTCAGGGAAAAAAAAAATCAATTCCAAGAGGTTCAATGATTTCCGCAACTCACATTGGAAATCTTTGGCAGAACTCAGGAATCCTGTCTGGGCCTGCGCTAGATCTGTAACAGTCTGACAAGGAACTGAATGGACTTGTTGAATAAGCCGCCTCGATCTATTGAATTCTCATCTATTTAAACACTTCAAAAAATCCAACATGGTTGGAAGCACTGCAATTCTCCTAGTAACCAGAAAAAAAGGAATAATAGCAAAACCAGATATCTTTTTCTTTGTATTTCTGAAGCAATTAGTACTCATACCCCGTAAGTGGCATTGACAGCTACCCAAGAACAATTAGGGATGATGTTCTTATACTCTAATGTGCATCTGTACATATGGCACATCATCAGCAACAGTACCAATAAAGGGGGAGGTCATTGTAAAACAATACCAGCAACAATGGCACAAACACAGTAACGACAGTGTCATCAGCTGCACAGACAGGCAGACACAAATTGCAGGAATGTGCAGCACAATTGCCATGGTATGTTTTACCAGAGAACAAGAGAACATATGCTTAGGTGTAGCAATCCTCAGATGCTGCCTCCTAAACCGTAAATCCATTTATTTCCTTGCATTTTCTGCCCCAATACGCTTAGACAGATCTGTGCCCAAATATCAAACGCATCTCTTCCTTCCAAAGGACTTGATGCTACAGGCAGGCATTAATGCCATGTTATGATGCATTCATTTCCACATAACAACAACGGGCACTCATTCAGCAACAGGGCTTCAATAACCAGGCAGGAAGAAAACGTGACCTGATCCTGGACATGTCTCGTTCTCTCAGGTGGAACAGATTTCTAAGAAACATGAAATCTTAAACCAAGACCTTCTAAAAGCTTTTGGAGAGTTCAGATAGGAGTTTCCTAATCATGCTTGTTTTTGTAAGGTGCTCAGGAAAGCAAGTGGAAGGGCCAAAAAAAAAAAAAAAAAAAAAAAAAAAAAAAAAAAAAAAAAAAAAAAAAAAAAAAAAAAAAAAAAAAAAAAAAAAAAAAAAAAAAAAATCTGTCCTTTCCATATCAAATCTGTCCTTTCCATATCAGCAACCTGGTTGCTCCCTCAAAATAGTTCGGTTGAGACATAGTCCAAATGATACTTCTTCAGTCCTCAGTCCTACTGCCAACGTACATGGACAGACTAAGAATTTATCAGTAACAGTATGACAGACACACTCTAAAACACTGAGGTTTGGATCAGAAACCAAAGATGTAACAGAGACTCCTTTTTCCACCTCTTCACTAATCTTACAGCTTTTAGAAGAAACTTATTCCATGCACAGTCCCTAGAGGTTAGTGTGCATTTCTAATTTCTATGTTCTATAGCAAATCACCTTTAAAGCCTCTAAAAATCCATGTTCTAAAAAATCTTCAAATTTTGGGATAGAAAAGAACCCAGGAAGAGCTTCAGAAACTCATAATGTTGGCATTTTGCTTTGTCACTAACTTTAATATCACTCTAATCAAATCAGCGAGACTGTGGAAACGATACCAAACAATACCAAGTCAGGAAATACCACCAAATCCCTCAATTCATTGAAAAAGTTAAGACTTTTAAAATTAGGGTTTTTAAACTCAGCCATGTTAAACTGAAGGGCATTTTGTAATTTTCATGCAGACAGCTGGAAGAGCAAAAAGGTACAGCATGCCACGAACAGTTTGTATTCATCTGAACTGAACAACATGGTACAAACATCTCAGAGAAATGTTTAGGAGAATGCTTGAGGTTGCCATTGTTGGTATGGACAGCTATAGGAATTGTGCCTTTTTTTTTTTTGTCTGTTCCTTCACTGTCCCTCCTACGGCATCAGTCTTTATTGCCTAGAGTAATTATAAAGCTAGGACCCATCTGTGGGCTTAGACAGTAGTACAAAGTCTGTGGCCCTCTTCTTTAGGAGACACCTTGGTGCTCAGCCCACAGCACAGAGGGCTATCCAAAAGCCACGCAGTGGTGAGCGAGCAGCCACAGAGTGACTGTTTCTGCCTAAAGCCTACCAGAGGCAAGGGATCAATCAGCACAGAACTGCATGCATTGCCCAGCGAGTACCTAAATCAGCGTTCATACATGCCACTTCCCATAACACAGAAAGGATTTATTGGGTACTAGGTACCCAGAGTCATAACAAGAATTTTCTCCTTTATTTCTTCAAAATAAAATCTCAAACTGTGGTTACGCATCAATTGCACCAGCTTCTCAAAACAGATTTAGAGAAACTAATCAACATAATGCAAAGTTGGTTAAGGTATTTATCAATACAAATTACACAAACCGATATGTTAGTGCATTCACAAGTGAACTGGAAATTCAACAGAACCAGTTAAATCCCACTGAGAATGACATTTCACTTCGGAGCGGGAAGCTAGCGCTGCTCGGGAGATAACTGTCACTGTGCCCCACCATGCAGCGTGATCTATGAAACGAAGGGACAAGAAATGTGAGCTCACCATAAGGAAGCATATCCTGCAGTGTCCGGGAGTACACAAGTCACCCACGTCCAGCAGACTAGTTCTGGTATCCGTCTGGACTGAAAAGGGGTATCTGAACTGCTTCGGTGAACAATTGCTTGAGGAGCTTTCCTCCCAGCACAGCAGTCACTACTCCTGTCCTATCTGACTCAAAGGGATGCCACTCCTCTGCTCACATTAAGTCTCTCAACTTCAGGTTGCAACATTTCCACACAAATGGGAACTACAGCCCTATACACCAGTTGCACCTTACAGTTGTCTGGCTTTACTTGTACATATCTGAAAGAAAAAGGAATTAAACACGAAAAACCTGATGGAGGCCAGCAGCACCTAACTACAAAGATCTCTGTTGAGAGCAATGGCACATTGACTTCCAAAGGAGGCGGACCTTCGTCAACTATCTCCCTTCAACCTCAGCCCAGCTCAAGGCTGTTGGCACTAACTAACCTTTAGAAAAATTCATCTTCTGGACACTCTACTACACTGCTTTTGGTAAAAATCTCATTGTTTGAGGGTTTTTATTATTATTTCTTAAACGAGGGGAAAGGAACATGGTGGAGCAGGGATGAGGTTTGAATACATAAAGAGCAGAAGACTAGCATACTTTGACCTTTCTTCTAAAATGGGCCACAGTTTTAAACATAATATGCCACCACCAAATAAGGTAGACAATTAGCCTCTGTCTAAAATAAAATGCGTTGCAATTGCTACCGCTATTAGCAAAACAGATGTAAGATGCTCATTTACAGCAGCCAGCAAAAAGGTAAGAGAGAAAGGCTGGGCTGGGAGGGGCTAGGACAATACCTGCGGACAGGGAAGTATGGGAGATGAGCTCTGACAATACCTTGGAAGCAAATGCAGGACATACAGAATATGAAAGATTAAACCAATAACACACGCTCTCATCTGTTTAAAGGAAGAGGAAAGGAGAAAAGATGACAGATGGGAAAAAGAAAAGGACGAATCTAGAAACAAAACTCATTAGCAGTGCCTCCCCCATCATACTGGGGAAAGAAACCTTTGCCTCATCACTGTTCAATGGGAAGGAAGGCTACATACACATGAAATCCATTATTTCAGATCTTCCTCTCCCCCTCCCATGGAGGGATCTAAATCAGGTCTTTGTCTGGAAAAGAAGGGAGAGGTTTTCTTAAAATGAAACAAAGGGCATCCTTCTCTCTGCTATCCCTTGAGGTAAGACAGAACGAGCATGATCTTGCTGCATTTTGACACACCGCGAGTTACCAAATCCTCTCTATCACTGCGTATTCCCTTTACTTTATTTAATAAATGAAATCTCATCAACTTATCCTTCTTCTATTATCACTGCTGACATCAATCTGATAATATTGGCTTGGCGTGGAATCGTGCTAGTATATGTCCTCTTGATATTTAATTTAAGAGAAACGTCTGCAGTGGGGTGAATATGTGAAGCAAGCTTTTTATTACTGGCAGCAGTAAGGACGCTGGGAGTGAATTAGACATTCATCTTAGTCAGGGCCAATCTAGTGGCTCAGAAGAGGTTTTCTTCTTAACCCTCTCCTAACTGTTCAATAGCAGCAGGTAACGGCTGCTCCAATCAATAACTGCATTCATTTGTCTTGGCAAATTCATTTCTACATGGATATAAACCCCATGAAGAAGTGCTAAGCATCTGGAAGGTTAAAGCAAGGTTCTTCGAGAATTTCCATCATAAGCTCTGCAACAGTAGCAGGAGTGCTGGTCTAAATGTCCATCAATTAATCAAGAAGCAACACAGCTTCCAAAGACACACACACAAACTTACTGCAAGAAGCGATTAAGGCAGTATCATCAGGACACAGACCCCATAGACAGAAGGTTTCAAACACAGCACAATGGCTACTAGCTAGCTGCTGCTGACAGGTTCCCTTTTTGGAAGAAGAATTATGGACTCAGTATTGGAAAGCAAGGGAAAGCTGGAAGATGTGTATGTATTTGCTAGTCCTTCCACCCAGATGAAAAATCAGACTAGCCAAGCAGAGACACAACTTTAATGCTTTAGGACTTGGCAGCTCTTTAGACTAGTGCAAAAGCAGTAACTCCACAGTGAGTACCACACTGTCACTTGGCTTGACTGGGTAGAGCAGCAATTCCAGATGGAGTTAAGAGCAAGATCCTCTTTTTACCTTTTACTCTGGGAAACCATTCAAGCTGAGAAAAAACTCAAGATAGAGACTGATGGTATCTAAACCT